ACAACTGGAGATTTTGGAACGTAATCCTGAACTCTTGGCTTGCTAGGCTTGCAGATTCTTCTTTTCCCTCTCCTGCAATCCCAACCGCTCTTTCCCTCTTCTCTGTCTCTTGGATCCCCCCTTCTCAATTCCTCCCCCTCTTCTTCAGAAAGTAAATGTATCACCTGCGGCAGCCGTGACCTGTTGCCTCTCCTTTGATGCTCGCATATCAGGCATAACCATGCCAAAGAAAGAATTCCAAGGGAAGAGCACTTCAGCTGTTTTGACAAGGCAATTACACACCTGTCCACAGATAACCCTCAGCTCCCTTGGCCCCGTTGTGGCTGCTGTTGTTGTTGCTTCTGCTTTGGCCAGGGGAATTCACTCCACCGCCACTCAATTGCATGAAGAGCCAGAGCAAAATGGAGAGGCCTCCTCTGCAAAAGGAAAAGAAAAGGGGATTTCCAGAGGGGTTGAAAATAAAGTTTCTGCCCTGCAGAATCATGGAATCATAGAATCATAGAATCATAGAGTTGGAAGAGACCACAAGGGCCATCCAGTCCAACCCCCTGCCATGCAGGAACTCCCAATCAAAGCATCCCTGACAGATGACCATCCATCATAGAGTTGGAAGTGATCCCAAGGGCCATCTAGTCCAATTCCCTTCTGCCATGCAGGAAGACACCATCAAAGCACTCCCAACAGATGACCATTTAGCCTCCGTTTGAAAACCTCCAAAGAAGGAGACTCCAACACACTCCAAGGGAGCATCTTCTACTGTTGAACAGCTCTTACTTTCAGGGAGTTCTTTCTAACGTTAAGGTGGAATCTCTTTTCCTGTAGATTGAATTCATTGCTCCGGGTCCTATTCTCTGGAGTAGCAGAAACAAGTTTGCTCCAGCCTCAATATGACATCCCTTCACATATTTAAACATAGCTATCATGTCACCTCTTAACCTTCTCTTCTCCAGGCTAAAAATACCCAGCTCCCCAAACCACTCAGGACTTGATGGTTTCCAGACCCTTCACCATTTTGGCCGTCCTCCTCTGGACGTGCTCCAGTTTCTCAACATCCTTTTTGAATTGTGGTGCCCAGAACTGGACACAGGATTATTCCAGGTGGGGCCTAACCAAAGTGGAATAGAGTGGTATGATGTATGTGTATTGTGTGCCTTCAAGTCATTTCCGATTTATGGTGATCCTAAGGCAAACCTATTAGGAGGTTTTCTTGGCAAGATTCTTCAGGGGTGGTTTGCCACGGACATCCTAGGGAAGTCGTTTCCAAAACTTTGGCATCCAGAGACAACCAGGGCCCTGCTCTACAGAGAATGTGAGAGAAGTCTTGCCTAGGGTTTGAAGCCACCAGCCCAATTCACATGACACCTGGGCTAGAGGGAATTCTTGCAGCATCACACACACTGGGAATACTCCAAAAACTCTTCTTTGTTTTTGTTTATAGCCCATCTTTTCACCAAGATTCCAAAAATATAGCTGTGTTAGTTTGGAAAATCAGTATGCAAAGGGATCTTGCAGCACCTTTCAGACTAACTGAAAGAGAGAAGTTGGTAGCATCCTAAAACATGCATCTGAGGAAGGAGGCTCATGTCTATGAAAGCTCATGCTCCCAACCTCCATCTTTCGGTTAATCTGAAAGGTGCTGCAAGATCCCTTTGTATATTTTTCACCAAGAGTGCATCTACACTGTAGAAATAGTGCAGTTTGCACTGTAGAAATAATGCACTTTGACTGCCATGGCCCCATCCAACAGAATCCTGGGATTTCAAATTTTTCGAGACACCATCCCGCTTTGGCAGAGAAGGCTCAAGATCTCGTAAAATGACAAATCCCAGGATTCCATAGGATGACGCTACAGAACTTAAAGCAGTGTCAAACTGCATGATTTCTACAGTGTAAGAAATAGCAATAGATGCGAGGAGAAATTGGAAGCTTTGCATCTGACTGGGGGCTCTAGTCCAGTGCTTGAAAGATGTCTTCACCAACCGAGCACCTTCCAGCTGTGTTGGATTAGAAGCCCCATCATCCCTAGCCAGCTGGGGATGGTGGGAATTTAAGTCCACCATATGGGAAACATCTGTTTGGGAAAGATTGCTCTAAACCCAGTCTCAGGGGTTTTCAGTGCTCACAACTGCACATGGCACATGTAATCATGCCTCTCCTCAAGGAACCTGGGATTCTATATCAAGGAGGTGGAGTGTAATTTAATACATATGTGATGATTGTGCATTAGTGAACTGCAACACCGTGCAACTGAAGGGACAAACAAATGTGAAATGTTAAATTAAGTTGAGTGTAAATGGAGATTTTTACATGGGCAAAAGTGATGGGAGCATCGCAGGATGCTTCCATCACTATCACACAATTGTGTGAAAATTATCACTTGACATTGAAATACTTGGGTCATTTTCCTATGAATAAAGAGGAATTCTAGCACCATTTTTTATTTACGGGAATTCGCATGATGTCGTGTGAACATCTTTGCACAATTGCGCAAAAGTGACAGGAGCATCCCACTGTGCTTCTGTCACTTTTGCCCATGTAAAAA